CCCCCACTCCCAGCGGGCCCTGGCTGGGGACGAGCGGTCACTCCGTGCCCCTGCAGCGGCCTTGTGCCTCCCTCACGGGCCTCGTTCCATCTTATGAAAGACGAAGCCACTTGTCAGAAGGCACAGACGTCCGAAACTGGAGTTTCCCGTTGCCGCTGTTGTAGGCCCTGCTTGGTGGGAATGGGGACCAGGAGGATGCAGCCAGGGTGCCCTTGATGGGGAGGCCCCAGTCACTGTAAGAGAGCACGGGAGGGGACAGAAAGTAACATGAGTAGTGAAGACGGTTTTATTTTTTGACCCTATCAGCCCATCCCTCCTTCAACTCATCGGTCCCCCCGGCAGGGAGTGTGGGGTAGGGATGGGTGACATTTGTCATATGGTACCTTCCAGATAAGTGCCGCCAGTTCTCCTGCCCCAGCCCTGAGAAGGAGGGACAGTCCTGTCCACTTTACAAAGGGGAACCCTGAACCCCAAGACATGATACAAGGCCCAAGTCACACAGCCAGCAAGTGAGGATCCAGGCTGAGAATCTGTCACCTCCGTGGCCTCAGCCATGAGCATGGGACAGGCCCTGGCACCTGCAGGCACATTTGCTCTGTCAACTCCACAACCCCTCTGTGTTCCCCCATAGCCTGGGGGCACAGGCACTCCAGTCCCGTGTCTCTACCATGGACAGAGTGTTCTGGAACATGGACCTTTCACACTTTACAGACAAGTGGTTCGAACCGAAAGAGTGGGTGCCGGCTCATCCTGGCCATGAGGCTGTGGACACCCTGCCCCATGAAGCTGAGTCTGTGTGGTCTGAGGTGAGGGCACGAGGTGGCACTGGCTCAGATTTGGCCCTGGCTCACTGTGTGTGGCTCCTAGGCCCCAGGCTCCTCCCTGCTCAGGGTGCTGGGCACATGCCGGGTACCATGTTATAAGGCCCTATCTCTGCACCCAGCACACGTAGGTGCCATGTCCCTTCCTTTTCCTACACCTCAGGTGTAGGAGGGGTCTGTAGGAGGGGAGAACGGCGAGCTGAGGGTGCAGTAATTCCATGCCGCCAGCCACCAGGATCTGCAGGGGCTTGGCCATAACTGGCAGCCATCATGTCCTCGAAGCCCACGGGCATCTTCCTAGGAGGCACCTTCTGGTCCAGGCTGGGGAGTCTCTCAGTGCTGCGGCCTTGAGAAGGTCTCCTGGCCTCCCTGAACCTCAGTTTCCTCATCTGGAAAATGGGGCTTGCGAATAGCACCCACCAGTGGGCAAATTAAATAATGTGCCTAAAGCGTGTAACACAATGCTTGGCATGTTGGTAATAAAAAGTTTGCCATTTGGTGACCAACCTTTTTCTAAAAAATTCCGGTGACATTCATGTAACATGCAACTAGCCATTTAAAATGTACAGTTCGGTGGCACGTGGTACATCCCCAGGGCCGTGCCACCACCACTTCTCTTTAGCTGCAGAACATTTTCCTCACCCCAAGAGGAAACCGCACGTCCGCTCAGCAGTCACTCCCCACCCGCTCCCCGGCCTGTAACCACCAACCCGTGCTCTGTCTCCATGGGCCATCGTGCTCTGGAATATGTCACATAACAGGAATGCGGCCTCGTGTGCCTGGCTTCCGTCACTACCATGTCTTCCGGGGTCACGCGTGCCATAGCAGGTGCCAGCGCCCCATCTGCCTCTGTGGCTGGGTAGCGGTCAGTCAGGCGGACAGACCACAGTTGCTCTCCGTGAGGGACATGGGGAATGTCAGACCTGTTGGCGGCGACATGCGCTGCTGCAGGGAACACCCGGATGCGAGTGTTTGTGTGGACGAGCGTTTTCTTTGTTTCTGTTCTGTTCTCTTCGTTTTTCTGAAATGCCGAGGGGTGAAGTTACCGGCTCATCTGGTCATTCTACGTTTCACTTTCTGAGGAACCGACGAGCTGCCTTCCCCGGCGGCTCCCCCGTCTGGCGTCGCCAGCACCAGCGTGGAGACGCTCATCGCCCCAGGCCCTCACCAGCACTCCAGATCGTCCTCGCTGTGTTGTCATGACAGCCACCCTAGTGGGTGCGAAGCGCTAGCTCCGTGTGGTTTCCATTTGCATTTCCTTAATGACAGTGCTGTTAAACATCTTTTTACGTACCAGTTGGCATATCTTTGGGGAAATGTCTGTTCAAATCTTTGCCTGTTTTTTAATTGGGCTGTTTGTCTTTTTGTGATTGAGTTGTAGGCGTTCTTTATATATTCTGGGCGCTACACCCTCATCAGATATATAATTTGCAAATAATTTTCTCCCATCTTTAGGTTGTCTTTTTAGTTTCCTGACACTATCCTTTGATACACCAAAGTTTTTAATTTTGATGAGGTCCAATTTTTCTACTTTTTTCTTTTGTTGCTCATGATTTTGGTGTCAAATCCAGAATCCGAGGTCATGAAGATTTAACCCTATGTTTTCTTCTAATAGTTGGATAGTTTTAGCTCTTATGTTTTGGTCTTTGATCTGTTTTTGTGGGAAAGCTCTTTTACCAGTGTGCAGCACACAGAGGCGTGCACGAATCATGAGTGTGCAGCTTGGTAGATGTTCACAGACTGGACACACCCATGTAACCAGCACCCGAATCAAGAAAGAGACCATGCCCAACCCCACAGGAACCCCCGGGGCCCCTTTCCCATCACCCCGCCCAAGGGCAGCCCCTACCCTGACTCTAACAATGTGGATTACTTTTGCCTAGTTTTAAACTTCATAAACATGGGATCTACACTCTTTCACGTCTGGCTTCTTTTGCTTACTATTAGGTCTGTCGGCATCCTGCATGCAGTTTGTTCAGGGCGTGAGGCTTGGGGAGCACAGGAGGACGGGGTTCAGCCCCCCAGAGTCGAGAACTGCCAGGCTGGGTGTTGAGAGTCCCCAGGGCTGGGCTTAAACTCGTGAACTCAGGGGCCAGACTCCTGGGCTCTCATCTTGCTGCACCACCTGCCCGCTGTGTGACTTGCCCAAGATGCTCTGCCCGTCCGTGCTTCTTATGAAGAGCGAGTGTAATGACACACCTCATATGACTGCTGCAGGGATTGGAACAAGCTGACACGGGTTCGGATCCTATACAGGGATGGCCGGTGCATTCACTGGCTGAGCGTGGTGCTGACCACACCGTGCCGAGGGTTTCGATTTAACCCTTACCAGTCAAAAAAAAAAAAAAAAAAAAAAAAAAAAGAACAAGCTGACATGAGTAAAGTGCTATAGATGTGGCAGCTGCTGTTGCTAAGGGAGATTCAAGCTTATCATCTTAGACATTGTCCCCAACATCTTTCTCTCTCCCGATTCACGATTCACATGTGGACGTGCTGCAGAGACGTCAAGGTTTGTTTGGCCCTAGAGGATGCACTGTCTCCCCCACGTGGCTGTCACAGAACTTCTGCTGTTAGAAGTCACAGGTGGCGGTGGGGGTTTGTACCCCCCATTGTGAGGTAGGGGCACTGGATGAGTGGGAGTGAGGACAGGTCAGAGGTCAAAACTCAGGAATACTCACTTGGGCTGGTTAAGAATGCAGTGAGTCATCAGTTGACAGCAGGGACATTGTCATCAGGTGACTTTTCTAAAAATACAGAACTGTTTCAGCCTCTAATTTGCACCTCAAAATAAGAGTGCTGCTCTGACCACTTGGCATGTTAATGATTGGAATCACTGAAATGACTGTTTCACCCTCATTCTGGAGCCAGATGCTGTGGTGTGACCTGCTGTCCAGGCAGACCCTGCACCTAGCAGTCCCTGAGCAGGTCCAGGTGCCAGGCCCTGTGCAGGACAGGCTCCCTGTCCGGCAGAGAATAAGCCCAAGAGTTGCCAAATCATGTGGAAATGGGCCCGCGAGGCCCAGATTGGGGACGCGTTCAGAGAAAGCTCCCAAGAGGAGGTTGAATTTGGGGTGAGATAGAGAACATTCAGGGTGGCCCTGGGTGGCAGCTGGGAAGGAAGGGCACTCCAGGTGGAAGGAGAAGCCCGAGCAAACGCCTGGGGACCGCAGGGTGGGCAGGACTGAGGACACAGCATCTGCGGCCAGGATGTCGGTGGGCCCTGCAGACTGGCCCGAAGGTTTGGCAGAGGAGGCCACGTCAGGCCCCGGGCAGGAGAGAAGCCTGTGGATTCTCTGCCCGCACTCAGGGGCCGTTTGGGGCCTGTTTTCATTGTAGAAGCCACCAGTGGGCAAGAAAAAGAAAAGTGGGTTGCTCGTCTGACTTTTCACCCCAAGACTGACATACTCACAGTGACTGTGAAGCTCCCTCCCGTTCTAGGAAAGCATAGAGCAGGGGGTCCGGCATCCACGTTCAGCAACAGGCCACAGCCCCGCCTGCCCTGAGGTTAGGAAATACCCGCCGTAAGGTAATGCTGAAGACAGTATTTTGGGGTGATTTTTTTTATTTTTTTGCACCATGCAGAAATAAGCCAAACCAAGCAACGTAATTTGTTTAAGCTATTTAAATATTAGTATTTGTAATCTAATTTAATGGATTTGGGGAATTATAAAAGTAGAAAATGCCATGGAGCAAACTGAGCGATACCAACGTATGAAAAGAAAATTGTTGGCCATTTTTCACCCCACCCCTCTAGTCCCTCCCCCTGCCCCTCCCCCTTACCCTACCCCACTCCTGCCTCATCCTCCTCCCCTCCCCCGCCTTCTGGAGATACCGCGGGCCAAGGGACCGGACCCCTCCCTCAATGCTGACTGGTGGGGGAGGCACACCCACCAAAGATCAGCCCAGGAGGGAGCTGGGAGGCACACCTGGGCTCTGGAGGTCAGTCAGGTGCAGCTGGGTCTCACTGCACCTTGGACACCTGGAGGCATCCAGTGGGTCTGGGTGCCGTGCAGGGTCTTTGGTCCTGATGGTTGTGGGGCCCTCTGACCTGCAGCACGTCTTCCAGCCTCCCCTGCGTACCTGTGCACACGGTTCAAGTGCCATACCCACGGGCTAAGAGCTGCGGCCTGTGGACGTTTCTGCCTTCACTAGAAACCTCTGCGTTTTGCTCTTTTGCAGGCAGGGGAGAAGCACTACCATCCTTCGTGTGCACTATGTGTCAGGTGCGGCCAGATGTTTGCAGAAGGCGAGGAGATGTATCTTCAAGGTAAAAATTGAATCGTGCTGTTTAGTGCCCTAGGGCAAGAACTTACCGTCTATTGGGTCCATACCACGTGCGGGGAGCCAGCAAGGCAGGGCCAGAGCACACGCCTGGCCGGCATCGTCAGAGAATGGCCTGCCACATCTGTCTGCGTGATTTCAGTGACAAAAATCAAAGACCAAAGCTCACGAGCATTGACTATTTGGGTCCGGCAGTGAAACTTAGACAAATGTGGTCTGTTATACCCATGATCACTTTAGGCCTCTTCTGGAAAGCCCGCCGGCTCCAGGGCTCCAGGTAAGGGTCTCAGGTGTGTCCTGCCCCTGTCCCCAGCCTGCTGCAGGCCCTTTATTTACAAAGGAGGCTAATAAAGAGGTGGCCAGCAGAGGCTTTCTCCCAGAAGCAAGGGAAGCAGGGACATCAGAGCCTGGGGAAGGGGAGTCTGGAGGAAAACACAGTCAGCCTTCTGACACATTTCATGTCGCTGCATGGGCAATCCCCCAAACCCATCCACCATTAAAAATATAACAAAGGAGAGGCGTTCTGTGGGCCACGGGCTACCAGGGAAGAATGAGGTTTGACAACGACGTCTCTCTCCTCCTTCTAGATGAACCCTTTTTAGCGCATTGCTTCTCATCTTATGCACAGGTTAACATTCCAGTCATAGCATTTAGCTACCGCCGATTTCTTTACAAAGCCTATGTTAATTAGGGAGACAAGAGGAAGACGGTGACCCTTGCAGGGGAGGAGAAACAATTTTTTCTCTTCACAGTTCCTCGTTGGACAGACCCCTGTAACAGAGGACAGATTATCATGACCAGACCAAAGAGAAGCTTATTAACATGTGCACCTCTTGTGTCCATGAACCATGACCCCGAGAAATGAGCACATCTCAGGAGTTGGTCTCAAGGACACGGCTTCGATTTCAGGCTTAAACACCACCATTCCCCAAAACACAGGAGGAAGGGTGCGGGAAGGCCCGGTGAAGCACTTCAAACAGGATTAGTTTGGTTGTACAGATTTAAATTGGAGGCTTCTCCATGGATAAAAATCTCTAGCGATTTAAAGTTGTGCAGAGAAGGAGAGACCCTGATCGATGGAGATTTCCTTTGTAAAATATAAATTTATAAATAGAAATTTACTTTATAGGGTCGGCCCGGTGGCGCACTGCTACAGTGCGCCACTTGGGAAGCACGGCAGCGCTCCCGCTGAGGGTTCGGATCCCACATACAGACCGGCGGCTCACTGGCTGAGCGAGGAGCGGGGGCAACACCGAGGGTTGCGATCCCGTTGCCGGTCCCGGTCCGGTACGGGCGCGACACTGAGGGTTGCGATCCGTTGCCTGTCACGAAAAAAGACAAAAAGACAAAAAAAAAAGAAAAAAGAAATTTACTTTATAGGGTCGGCCCGGTGGCGCCCTGCTACAGTGCGCCACTTGGGAAGCACGGCAGCGCTCCCGCTGAGGGTTCGGATCCCACATACAGACCGGCGGCTCGCTGGCTGAGCGAGGAGCGGGGGCAACACCGAGGGTTGCGATCCCGTTGCCGGTCCCGGTCCGGTACGGGCGCGACACTGAGGGTTGCGATCCGTTGCCTGTCACGAAAAAAGACAAAAAGACAAAAAAAAAAGAAAAAAGAAATTTACTTTATAGGGTCGGCCCGGTGGCGCCCTGCTACAGTGCGCCACTTGGGAAGCACGGCAGCGCTCCCGCTGAGGGTTCGGATCCCACATACAGACCGGCGGCTCGCTGGCTGAGCGAGGAGCGGGGGCAACACCGAGGGTTGCGATCCCGTTGCCGGTCCCGGTCCGGTACGGGCGCGACACTGAGGGTTGCGATCCGTTGCCTGTCACGAAAAAAGACAAAAAGACAAAAAAAAAAAAAAAAAGAAATTTACTTTATAGATGTAAATTTCCCTCTAAAAAGGGTCGTTTCTCCTCTGTTTTCACATTTCTGAGTCTGCTGTGTCCCCAAATAATCAGCTCAAGATAATCCTTATGCTGCAGAGGCATATCTGGGGTGGCATATTCTGGTCTCCCAGCTGTGTTTTAGGGTGGTGTGTTCTGAGCCCCATTCCTCTCCCTCTCCCTGAGTTACACTGAGAGTGGACACTTGTTTCCCACCTGTTGCTTATCCATCCCCTGAGCCCTGGTAAAGAACTTTACTCCAACCCCTGTTAGAACAGTAGGGATGACTTTCTGGGCTGTTGCTGCAGGAGTCAGGACTGTTGCAACAGGGGACAGAGATCGGGCTCAATTCTGATCAAGACAAAGAGAGTGGGGAGGGGGTCAGTGGGTGGAAAATTACATCCAGGGTTGGGGGTTCTCACCGAAGGCAGGCAAAGAACTGGGACATCAAAGGTGGAGGTGGGGTCTCACTAAACTGACTTAGCAGAATTCTTGGGAAAACTGGAATAGGCAGGCCTAAGACTAAATGGAGGGGGGGCATGGTCAAGGCCTGGGACAAAGGTCAAAGCCTCGTCGAGAAGACGACTCAGAGGTGCCCAACCACAGGGCCTGGTGCCAGGACAGGCCATGGTGGGACAGCGGGCAGGGGGCGGGGTGCAGGGTTCACAGACCGACGATGGGTTGGACGTGGGCAGAGGGGCCCAGGCGAGGACGGGTCGGCAGTGAGACTTGGTCACTTCAGCCAGTCTCTCTTTGGAGACTTCTCTGTCTCCAGTGATCCCTGAGACAAGCTGAGCAGGCAGATGGGTGGGAGAGCTGTGGTCAGGTGATCGGCCACACACGCCGTCCCCCAGATGGGCCGTGGAATGACCTCAGCGGCCATCAGCCCAGGCTGCGTGTTGGACAGGCCTCCCTCTCTGGGGCAGACTGGTGGGGTGATGTCAGATTGGACGGCTCGTCCCCAGTGTCTCCTGTTGTTCCTAGAGTCTCTGCTCAAGAGCTCGTGAAAGGGGCTCTTTGCGCATACCCCGGCAGCACTGGGCTGTCTGGGTGGGGGGGTCCCTCTGCCTGAGGCTCGACTCCCGCTGTAAATGATGCTCTCAGACAACAGGGCCTGATGCTGAAGTGGCACTGGGACAGCGGTCCAGGGACACGAGCTCCCATCGAGGGTGACGTAGTCTTGGGGAACAGAGATGGTGCTCAGGATTCTGGGCTGAGTCTGGCGACCGATTTCTAACGTGGAACCTGCTGTGACTTTCTGTGAGATGTTGAAGCCAGTCCTGTCCCATCTCCGGGCCTTGGAGTTCCCAGTCTGTATGATGAGAGGTCAGACCAGGATGGTGGCTTTTAAGCTCTGCTACACCGGGGCTTTTTGGGGCCCCCACCCTGCCTGGTCACCCTGATACCCTCTGCTTGGTTGACCTGATACTGGGGCTCCATGAAGGTGTCTTGTGATGGATAAGTCCTGCTGCCGAAAGTTCTGAGAAGCGGGGGTCCCAGTGACCCCCACCCCCCA